ACCGACCACTTAAAAGTCCTTTTGAAATTTTTGAATTTTGGTTTTTTTGCCGATGCACGAGAAACGCGTCAACAAACATTAGCTGTGCTTTTTTCGTGCTTTATTCACCGTGATACGGGAAAGGCGCATAACTTTGTTCAAACTTGGAAATTCTATTCAAATAAAAAAGTAAAATGTACAGCATACACAGGTCTAGAAAATGATAGCTAATGAAACCCTATTTGAACGAATAGTTTCGAAAAAGATGCCATGAAACTGACGTAGCGCTCCCACCCATCTTTTCATAACCTGTAGTTCGCCACACTCCCTTCGAACATAATTAAATTCAGCTCCATTTTGTAGATCTTGTCAAAAACTGTATTTTTCAATTTGATTCAAACAAAAATTCTAAGTTTGAACCGAGTTATGGATCAACCCGTGGAGGACCTCTGTTTTTGAAATAACGGAAAATTTGAATAGTCTTTGAAATACCGTAAAACCTGAAGGACCTCATAGCGCCTTCTTTTATCTTTGCTCTTGTAAAATGTGGTAATGTGTGAGTAGAATTCATTATAACTCGAGAGAACTACAAAATTCTTCTTACTCACTATAAACATCTGCATCCGGACAACATCCTCCCGAAGTGACCAGTGTGTACCCATCCGGACAATTCCCATTCGCATCTGGCAATGGTGGGGATGTGCATCCGAGCTGAATCGCCGCATCGGCTTGGACCAGAAATACAAAAAATGCCGAAACCAAGAATTTCCAGCTCATAATTTTTTAGTCGACTTCTTTTGAGAGAAAAATGAAATTGAAAAATGAAAGTTTCAGTTTCAGGTCTTATTTACCACATTTCAGAACGCGTTATCACTGCTTGATAAGCGGATAATCGCTAGAAAAATTTTCAAAAAAGTTATGTTACTTGTCCTATGCATGGGCAGGAAGCGATTGGAAAGGATTACTGTAGTTTTGAGTTTCAGAAAAATTTTAACGTTATCAAAAAAGTGAGTTTGAGGCTAGTTTTGAGACTGCCTGTGGAGGTCCCTTGTTTTTGAAATAACGTAAAACCTGAAGGGCCTCATAGCGCCTGCTTTTATCTTGGCTCTTGTAAAATGTGGTAGTGTGTGAGTAGAATTCATTATAACTCGAGAGAACTACAAAGTTCTTCTTACTCACTATAAACATCAGCATCCGGACAGCATCCTCCCGAAGTTACCAGTGTGTACCCATCCGGACACACTCCCATAACAGATTGAATCGTCGCAGTTGTACAACCGAGCTGAACCGCCGCATCGACGTGGACCAAAAATATAGAAAAGACCGAAATCAAAATTGTCCAGTTCATGATTTTTAAGATGATTTTTCTTTTGATTGTGAGGGAAAATGAGAGTTTCAGTTCTTATTTACCATATTTCTGAACTCTTTATCACTACTCTATAAGCCGATAATCTAAAGGAGAATTCGCAAAAGAGCCATGCAACTTCACCAATGCGTGGGCAGGAAGCGATTGGTAAGTATTACTATAGTTTTGACTTTCAGAAAAATCAGAAGATTGCTCAATGATTTTTTTTGAGTACACCACCCCTAAACAAATATACGAAGAATTAACTTTTCGAGTTTGAACTTTTACCGTAAACACTATAACAGAATGCCACCCCTAACCTTTAACTTTAAGCTAGCTTATCTCAGTTCCTGTGAAAGATTCTAGAAAGTGGTCAATCAATAAAATATTTGTGACATTATGATAAACATTTTAATAGTAAACAACTTTTTGATATCTTTCATAGGAACTGAGATATATGGGTTCAAATTTGTTGGCTTGGAGGCGTTCTGTTAGAGTGTTTACGGTAATTTCTTTAGTATAACTAGTTTTTAATTTTTTTTTTCTCCCTCATTTTTATTTTTTTTCCTTGTTACCGGTTGTCTCTTTTTCTGTTCCATGTATTACTTCTTCTACTATTCAATTTCCTTAGATCGGCCTCGTGAGAGACATTTTCTAAGCCTTATTTGTCATGTCTTCTGATTCATATCTACGTTTTGAATAAACAATTTTGATTTCAAAAATGAAATAGTGTCACAATTGATAAGCAACTTTTTTTTCGCTTTTTTCCTCTATTTGGAAAGGAAAGAAATATTTCGCAATGGCTGAATATGATGCTGGAAATTTCGAGATATCTTGGCACAATTTGCCGGATTGGTTCAAAAGAGATGTTGTTGGTTTCTTGGATTTCAAATCAAGGTGAGTGAAATGTTTTGGATTTTGCAAATTTAAATTTTTTCGAAAAATGTTTGGAAAGTGATTTTTGAACCGAATTGTTCGACAAACTGAAAAAATGACAAAAATTCAAAAAATCGAAATTTAAGTTTTCAAAATTTAGGAATATGAACGAATTTTTTAAAAATCCTTATAAAAAATTACCGTAAAACCTCTAATAGAACGACACCCGGATCGTCCACTTTTAGCCTATATATCTCATTTACTGTGAAAGATATCAAAAAGTGGCTAACTAGTAAAATGTTGCTGATATCCTGATAAACATTTTACTAGTTAACCACTTTTTGATACCTTTCAAAAGAAGTGAGATATATAGGCTCAAAGTGGACGATCCGGGTGTCGTTCTATTAGAGGTTTTACGGTATATATTATTTCCAGAAGAAACCTCCGCAGCTGCTCGAAACTTCATCGAGATCTCGTGGACTGCTGTCCATTTTTCATTGAGAAACTTGGATTTTTCTTGTCCGTCTCTAGAATTTCCATTTATTTCTCCACGGACTACAAAACTATCACAAAGCATTCTTATTCTAAAAATGAAAATACATTTACTGAAGTAATCCAAGATTTCCTACGACTTTTCCAAAACTCGAAATCTATTGTGAACGAGTTGACTGTAGACTTTTCCGACTTGGAAAAGTCAAAGATGGTGATTGATGAAATTGAGAAAATCGCAAAGGAGAATTTCAAAATTAGAGTGAAGAAAATTATCTGGTACAGCTGCCCGAACAACTTATCTGCAGTTCAATTTGTTAACTTTATTACTGTTGGAGCTCTGGAAACTATAAGATTCGAATATCAACATGGGAACTTGGAAATGATAAAAAGGCTGATAGAAACGGAGCAATGGAAGCAGGCAGAAGAGATAACAACATCTACATTAGTACCTAAAGGATTGGATATTGAGAAGTTTTCACATGTCAAACGTCTGAAGATTAAAGTTGAAGATTCGGAATGGGATGTTCCGAAAATTCAAAATTTGATAATGGTGAGATCTCTACAGTAATGGACAAAACAACCTGTGAAAGAATTTTCTAGAATTTCAAACGACAAAATCATCCAGTCGGCTCTTTTTTCTCGATTCTTGTATATTTCCGTCCCAAAGGTTCAGAAAGAGAGGAAGAGGAAATTCCCACGCCAATCATTGTTGATGAAGTGTAAGATTTTGAGATTTTCCAAAAATTGAAATATCCGAAATTTTCAGAAAAATCCTTCCGAAATCCGGTTACTATTTCCGGATGCCAAATAAGAACCATTTTTTGCGAGTGCATAGATTAGAGAATGGAATTGAAGGACTTGTGAGGGATAATAACGAATATATTGAATATTTTATTTTGTGAAAATTTATTTTTGGTTTTTTGAATAGTATTGAATAAGATTATCGATTTTATTTTGAGCCAATATTTCAGCAAGCCTCTGGGCCTCCAGTCAACTTTGAGCTCATTCATTTCGGTTCATTTAACATATATCAAAAAGATGTCAACTGATAAAATGTAAATCATAATATCACCAAGGATTAATCACAGGAAACATCGACGCTACAATTACAGTAACCAAGATAATTGAGCTCGAATTGACAGTATCGGGGCCTTCTGTTACAGGTTTCAAGGAAAGAGGATTACTAACGTCAACTTTGACAAAACTTATCTCGATTCCTTTAAAAGATATCCAAAAGGAATCTACTGATAAAATGTTTACCATCATATCGGGATTGTTTTATCAGTTGACAGTTTTTTGATATCGTTCACAGGGACCGAGATAAACTAGATCAAAGTTGATAACAAGATTCTGCCCTTTGAGACCATAAGGCCCGAGACCCGGCAAAGTTGGAAACTTCATTATTTATACAGTACTCAAAAACATGTTGCATTTGTACGAGTGGCTCTACTTGGGGTAGTTGCACTGTTAGTTTTCGATTTTGCAGTTCGAAACAGAACATTCTTGACCTGGCGTCTGAAAGTTGGGAGCACAAAAATTGTGGACAACGGATCGATCACAGGAAACATGGACATTACGATGGAAGATGTGTTTTGTAGCCATCTGAATTTTTTTTCAAATTTTGGAATGGGTTTTTTGGTCGACGACCGCCGATTTTTGACATTACTCACTGCCCTACATTAATCCCAAACATTGGTTGGTACCAGGAAAAGAAGCATGGTAAGAAGCAAGCGACAGTAGGAGTTATTGTCTGAATAACCAAAGCAATCGTCAGTTGGGTTTGCTGCCGTCTGGTGTTGGCACTCAAGAAGAGAATCTGATTTCGGAGTTCTGATACGATAAGAAATCCGAATAGCACAATAATCAAAAGAGAAGCAAATGAGACAATGGATAGTAACCCAATACCAATCCAGGTGTCGCGAATTAAATCAGGGGAGGCGTCCTAGAAAAAATAATGCAATCTTAGTTAGGCATTCAAAAGTTAGGGTACCCAATACTGCGCAATGACAATATTCAATTCCATCGGATCTTGTCCATAATACCGCATGAATGAGTCTTGAACATATCGCAATCGCTGGTTCACATTGGTTCCTGATAGGTACCCGGCCTAAAAAAACAAAGGTGTTTAAAAATGATATACCACAAGAACCAGTATTCGAGGGTCTATCAGAGCATTTCTTACAATTAGGGTACATTACATTTTTGGGGACGGCTAGGAGGCTGATTCAAGAAATACCGTAAACTATCTAATAAGGTGACTCCCTAACGTTCAAACTTCGGCCCATTTATCTCGGTTATCGTGAATGATATCAAAAAGTGGCCAACTGACAATCTATTTTTCATAATATGATACACATTTTCTCTGTTGATCACTTTTTAATATCTACTACAGGAAATGAGGTATATGGTCTCAAAGTTGACGGTTTGAAGAGCATTCTCTGATGAACCCTTGAATCCATACCACAATTGTCCAAAAAGCCATATGAAGCAAACAATAAAGAACCGAGAAGAGTAGGCCATATGGCAGGAAATAGTTGAGGTAGTAATCACTGAAAACCCTTTTATCGAACACAGTTTTAGTAAAAAGAAGTTACTGAGCTAGTGCCATGTATCGGTAAACAAAATGGGAGTGGAGGATTGCGTATGTGCCAGTGATGAAGCTACAACGGAAGGAGAGAAGGTAGCGACCGAATTCGGAAGGCTGAAATAGGTTAATTAGATGAGGGGATATTAAAATTGCCTTTTCGAACGTGTAGCTGGATCAAGAAGTGATCTTCACTATCTTCGGCCCTAGTCTTCAGTAACGCCGACCGCGTAGCTCAGTTGGTAGCGACGAAACTTTCATCTAGGCAATTTAGCGGTCAGAATTGATGAACTTCTAGCTGCATGGATGTATTCCTATGCCCTTTATTTCATGTCATACATCTTGTAAGTTTTTGTGTCTCGGCCGCCGACGAACCGCCAGCGGCACACCGCTTTTTAAACTCCACTAGTGTTTATCTCTCACGTGTCCTCGGTAGTATAGTGGTGAGTATCCGCGCCTGTCACATGCGAGACCCGGGTTCAATTCCCGGCCGGGGAGAAATTCTTTTGTCTGTTTTTTAACCATGATTGCAGCTTCGATAGGTACATTTAAAGCATACTTGTAAAACTTCGGGCCGGCCCGCCAAAGTCCGGGCTTGAGGAAATTTTCAAGGCCCGGGGCTTTTTTCGATTGTTTGTCTGTTTGACCTAAAAAGATCGAAAAAACTCGAAAAAAAATTTATGATCGAAAAATATCACATAATGTGTTTATGTGTTTTTTTCCCTCGTGTTTTTGAAAATTTCAATACTTGTGAAATGACGGGCCCGCCAGGCCGAGCCGGGCTCGGGCCGGGCCTGGCCTTCGGAATTCGGAAAAAAGCCCGGACCGGCCCGGCCCGTTACAAGTATAAATTAAAGGGGATTTTTTAATTTTCTCCGCTTTTGTCTCATGGGCGCCACTTCGCTGTAGGCAATTGGGTATGGATTAGGCATAACTTGGGCATCTGTGGCGGTGATAAGTTAATGACTTATCAGAACAATACTCGATTCGACTTATTTTTTTAGACTGATTTTTCTGATGATGTTACCAGTGACCGGCACCCCAAAGCCGATTTTAAAAATTCACCGTTTCAAAAAAGCCATCGGTCACAAAAATGGTGAACGCATACTGATAGTTGTAAATTCCAACTGGCACAAAAAGATCACACAACGAGCAAGACATGTTGAAAATCGAAAAATACAGAACCAGATATTTATAATTGCCCATATTCATATTAGTGTCCTTCAGAATCATATAAATGAAGAGAGGATTTATGATAAACGAACATACTGCAAAACACCTGGGAAGATAGCGGTGCGCCCAGTCGATGTACATTTTTTAATGGACTGTTTGTGTGAAGTGGGTAGAAAAAGTTTTGTTATGATGACGGAGATGTAACGCTTTATTATTGCACCGGAAATTAAGAATTGGATATCGTATAGTGGCTTTTTTTCAATGCAGTCTAGTCTGACTTGTACTGTCTGCATGTTTTCAAATTATTCAATTAGCCAAGTCAGTTTTTCGTCTTTTCCCAATTCTTGGTTAGAAAATACAGAAAAGTTCCAGGATACTGAAGAATTCAGACACCTCTAGATTTTCGATTGAGAATTTTTAGAATATCCTTTTAAAGGTGGTGTACGGTGAAATTTTTTATTGCATCAAAATGTGCAGAAATGCATGTAGATTGACATAAAAATGAAGAAAAAATTCAAAAAAATTCCTTCATCGAGAAAAACGCATCGAAAAATACGCTGAAAGTGCTTAGGAACGAGGTTTTTTCTAGGCCGCCCGGTGAGTAAAAGCGCGCGAATTCAAACTTTTAAAATTTTTTCGCTCGTTTTCACTGTTTTTTCAAAATTTCCGATGTATCTGGAAGAAAAATTGACAAAAACCTAGAAAACTCTTGAA